ACTCGACAACACTAACCTAAATAAAATACCCCCTCAGTACAAAATCAACATACTAGACCCAAGAAACATTATTCTACAAAGCTACAATAATCACCAAAGTGAAAAGCCATTATCCGGAAATATAGAATAACTAAAGTCCTCCCCTGGGATATAAATAATCCTCCCTAATCAAAAAGAGGTTATATATATATATATATATATATATATATATATATATATATATATAAACAATACATCTCTAACATACGTACACCATGACCTAAAGTTCTAACTTTGGCATCAGAGAATATTATTAGGGACAACCTAGATAATTCTCCTGAGTAAGACTTTTTTAGTTTTGCAAACATGAAGCCTTATGGAGGGCACTGGGATGACTTCATCTCTCAACCCTTCCCATATGCTATATGGATTGGTAACGTAGCATCATTAGTGTCATCCATAATTAAAATGATTGAAAAATGATAAACTTCCACATACAATGTGATATCCCCATTTTTCTCGGCCAGAAAAGACTGATTTAGTTTATGCTTTTAAAATAAAATCAGTTGAATTTTCCAAAAGATGTTGCGAAATATATTTTCATTATATAACAAAACCTCAGGATGTCATGTTTCGATACAAAACAAAAGCATAAACAGTACATTATAATCCTTACAACATATATTTATATCTACTGGCCTATAATCCAAAAATCCCTCTTCAACCTCCAAACTATGCTTTAGGTCCACTACGTGTAATATAAAAATCTGAGTTGGTCAGGCTTGGGAGCCTGGTGAGCATATAAAGTTTTCAACCCACAAATAATAATAAATATATTAATTTCATCAACCAATAATAAATTTATTAATTTCATCAAACAACAATAACCCTGATTACCCGTTCCCGTTATCCTCACTTTACGTTCCTAAACACCTTTCATAAGGGACCTAGCCTAAGGATTTCCATCGGGGAGACAACACTGCTTTAGGGGATTCCTCAGAAATTTATGTCAAATAAGGCAACCATGTGGGGGATGGAGTATACCATTTAACACTAAGTTCACAAACACCTACATGTTGCAAGCCTGCTAGCGCTCCACTGGACTGTCTAGAAAAGTCTGTGGCCGTCATCTATAGTCCACTAGATGACCGAAACAATAACAACATCGAGGCCTCTCATCATATTAACACTAACACACATCAACTATTATATCTACTCATGTTTTACCCAACATATTTGTAGATAAAAATACATATACAGTTTAAAACTTGTATAAAATAATTATTCAACACTCATCCCAAATAAACACACAATATAATTACACATAACACGTATTTATAGAAAATACTTCATATTTATGTGTAAGAAGAAAATGACTATACACTCATTTGATAAGACGATAATTGAGCAACACATCGTCTCTTAAAATGATCGTTTCCGATAAAACCAGGATGTTTTCCCAAAAAAACCGGGCCCTACACGGTCAAAGTTTTGGCTTGATAATTCTTTTTCTCTGGATCTTCGGGGCTTCAGGACTTGCTTCGGGTGTCGGAGATAATATCGGGGCTTCGGGGGTTAAAAGTAGGCTAAAAAGAGAGTTGGGAGTGAAAGAGAATTGCTTTTCTAAACAATAGCCCGTAAGCCCTCAGTTACTATTTATAGTAACCGAAGTCAGCATTACGCTGGGCGTAAAAGACAAGTACGCGGGGCGTACTGCGATGCGAGACTCTACGCGGGGCATAAGCCCTCGTACACTGGGCGTAGGTGATGTGTGGCTCCGGACGTGTCATTTTCGCATGATACGTGTCGATTGCAAAGGGAGGTCTACGTGGCCAATTTCTAACCGCGAACATGAGTACGTTGGGCGTGCTCTTCAGACCAGCCTCGAAGTTTGTGCCAAAAACTTCAAAAATTCGTAAATTTCACATAAGAACTCCATTTTTGATGCTCTTTATATCCACACGTAGGTGAGATTATGCTCTACAACTTTCGTTTAGACTTTGTCGGTAAATTTTGACTTTATCACTAAAGTTATATTTTTAACAGGTCGGGACAGGAAAAATCCGTTAAAAATTCATAACTTCTTCATCCGACGTCCGTTTTCATCTATCTTTTTACAGTTAAATTAAAATCAACAAGATCTTTGATTCTCGTTTAGATTATTTCGGCTAAAAATCATTCGATCTAAAATTCGAGTTCCAGGCTACATACTGCTAAGTCGAAACTTAGAAAAATCATAACTTTCTCATACGAAGTCAGATTTGGGCGTTCTTTTTATGAACGCTCTCGGTTTAACGAACTCTACAACTTTAGTTTAAATCACTAAAGGTTAAAAAGCACTTTATCGTAAATTCACTTTTTACGTCATACAGCGTCGTGTCAGTTCTGTCGCGAAACTTCGGCAGGTCATAACTTCTTCGTTATAACTCGGATTTCGGCATTCTTTATATATCCGAGATCTTTGTCCCAACCAGTACAACTTCATTCTTATATATCGGGTTTATCTAACGTTGGACCAAATGCGCCACATCAAATTTAATTATAAGAATGAAGTTGGACCAAATGCGCCACATCAAATTTAATTATAAGACATGTCAAAGATTCAAGTCTTAATAGTTGCAAAAAAAAAAAAAAACAAAGTTTTATTTTTAATGTAGATTGAGTTTGATATAAAAACCAACTCTTAGACTATGTGGTATGGGCCAAACGAGAAGAAACGAGGATGAGGCGGCATGCCTCAACGGCATCTTGATGAGCTGCACCCCCCCCCCCCCCACCCCCACCCATCTCGTTGTTGCTCGTTGTGGCTATTCTCATTGCCGTCTCGACTATATGAAACGAGTAAAAATGGAACGCTACCCATTTTAACCCGTTTGAAAACGTTTATTTTAATTTAAAAAAAAAACTTTAAAATTAATTATTATTTTTCCTATATAAATATCTATTATATTTAAACAATTTTTTAAACACATAACTTCTATCTTTCTCTCTATAAATCTCAATTATCTTCAAAAAAAATTATGGATCTTTTCGACTCGTCCAATGATTCCGATGACGATATATTCTTCAGGATGATGTATCAGTATTATACTAATGAGCTACTACAAGCAGACTCAGCTCCGCTACTAACAAGACGTGCGATGTTAAATAGAAATCGTGAGGAAGGATATGAACATCTATATCGCGATTACTTTGCGGATAATTGTGTATACGGGTCGAAGGACTTCAAAAGAAGATTTCGTTTGAGTAGGGATGTGTTCGTACGGATCGCCAACGCTTTGGAAAGCCGGTATCGCTTCTTTACTATACTTTTATACCAAAAAAAAAAAAATCTAGTACATGTTTCTTTAATTTTACAACATATACAATATATTTTTAAACTGTAGTTAATATATGTTTAGGTATGAATTTTTCCAATTGAGATATGATGTTAGAGGTAGACGAGGGTTTACAACTTTGCAGAAATATGCTACGACCATTCGTTTGATGGCTATGGGGGAGTCACCCAACACCATGGACGACTATATGAGAATGTCCGAAAGAACCGCAAGGGAGAGTTTGTATACATTGTCAAAGGGTGTTGTTGAAATATTTGGAGACGTGTATTTGCGGAAACCTTCGTTGCATGATTTGCAAGAATTGTATGTCGTGCATGAAGAACGCCATGGGTTTCCCGGAATGATCGGAAGCATTGATTGCACACATTGGAAATGGAAAAAATTGTCCGGTAGCATGGAAATGGCAATACGCAAGTGGTCATCACGGATCACCTTCGTTGGTTTTAGAGGCTGTTGCTTCTCAAAATTTATGGATTTGGCATGTATTTTTTGGGGTTGCGGGTTCCAATAACGACGTCAACGTTCTTAATCAGTCGTCAATATTCGACGATCTTTTGAATGGAAAGACCCTGGATGCTCCTTTCACAGTGAATGGAAACGAATACAAATATGGATATTATCTTACATATGGAATATATCCTCAGTATTCTACATTCGTGAAGGCGTTCCGCCACCCAGTTGAAGAACGAGACAAATTTTTTAAGAGAAGACAAAAAGGAGCACATAAGGATGTGGAACATGCTTTTGGAGTGTTGAAGGCAAAGTGACATATAATCGAACATGCAACACAACCATTGGATTTAGAAATTGTACGATATATCATGTATGCATGTATCATAATGCATAACATGGTAGTAGAAGATAAAGGACGAAATATTGCACACTATATCCCAACGGAGCCCAGACATGTTCCGTTTCAACCAGGAACACTAGATTATTTGCATTGCGTTGTTGGCATTCAGGACGCAAATAAACACAGACAACTTCGAGAGGATTTGATGGATTATATATTCTATGGTAACAATAACGATAACGAATATCTTTTTTTTTTTTTTTTAATTTGGATGTTATTATTATTATTATTTTTTGAATTTGGATGTTATGTGTAATTTAATCTCTATGTTAATTTTAATCTTTAAAAATTATTATATGTTATTTATAATTTTTAAACATTATGTTTTATTTATTATGTTATATTTAAAAAATATTTGTGTAAATTAAAAAAAATCGAAAAAAATAAAAAATAAAGTATAAAATGGAAAAAAAATTGATGTCATAACAAGATACAACATGGTGACCATTTCCCCATTTGGTGTTATAATACCATTGATGATATGATACCAAAATAATGTTACATCTAATTGTCCACTCTTAATGCTTTTATATACTTGTCATCTAATATGTTATTGTAGAAGAAATTATTGTGTATTTGATGACATCGTGCTTATAGTATGAGAAGATGTGAAGTTCCTTAAAAGAATAATATTTTACTGTAAAAATTTGTATAAATATATGACTAATTTATGTTACAAGTGAAATTATAGTTTAAAGGATTAAATATGAAAATTGATAGTTCAAGAACGACTGAACGAGTCTCATGCAAATCAAACGGATATCACAATTACCATTCTACCCTTCTCGACAACGAACTCTCCATCTTCATGTATTCAGTCATCTCTCACTCATACACTATCATCCTCTTCTATATATTCCTTCACGTCACTGCTCCGGCCGACTGTTACACTTTCCGGCAACTGATCGCCGTTTTCCATTTCTAATCATGTCCACCGCCAACGGTGATGCTAAACATAGCCGCTCCCCCTCTGTTGTCTACAGCGAAGTCCAGTCTAGCCGCCTTAAAACCTCTCTTCCTCTCCCTTCCGTACTCAAATCCTCGTTTCAGGTCGTCGATGGTCCTAAGAGCTCCGCCTCCGGCAATCCAGGTTTTTCCACATTCACATTCATTCAATTATGCATCCAATTGTATTGACGGAATGATCTAGTTTGATGCTAACACGATCTAACACTTACACACACACACACGGGGAATTCCACGATTACTTATTGAAGCTGTAAGAACACTTGCGTTCGAGACATCAAATGCAATCTGTTCTTCGCAAGTTGTATGTGATTGTAATGTCTTCCGTGTAAACGAATCACTGCTTATGTGCTTGAACAAAATGTAAGGTCTAAATCATAATAACGATTAAGAAGTGAGCTCATTAGGCTCGGAAACTGGTTAATTTTGGGGCAATTTGCAGATTTTACAGTATTCTATATTATCTTCTCTCAATAGTTTAAGATAATCTGATCATCAGTGTATATGTTCTCCTTGTGCGTTTAACGATACATATTTCATGTTATTTACTCACACTAATTTCAATGGTTGGATTGTACCAATGCAGACCAGATCGCTAAGCTCTTCCCAAATCTGTTCGGGCAGCCATCAGTATCCTTGAAGTCTGGAGGTTCATTACCAGAGAAGAGTCTAAAGATTGGTGTTGTTCTATCTGGAGGACAAGCTCCTGGTGGACACAATGTGATTTCTGGAATTTTTGGTGAGCAAATAATTGAACTGAATCTGTGAATTAGCATATTTGTTTATGGCATATGGCTTTACATTTCACTGTATTATACTTTTGTTGGGCAGATTATTTACAGACTAGGGCCCATGGTAGCACAATGTATGGATTCAAGGGTGGTCCAGCTGGAATCATGAAGTGTAAATATGTTAAGTTGAATGGAGACATTGTCTATCATTACAGAAATCAGGTGATATTGCAATTACTTTCGGAACCCCATAAAGATAAAATGTAGTTATATATGTATTATATTTGTGTAAACTGTTTTGGGATTATTTTGAATTGCAGGGTGGATTTGATATGATATGCAGTGGAAGGGACAAGATTGAAACCCCTGAGCAGGTTATAACTTATAACTAAAGTTTCATATCTAATCCCTAAATTAAGACATTCTGCTTGTTAATTAATTAGGTTTCATTTGTTTTCAGTTTAAAGAAGCTCAAGAAACAGTGAAGAAGCTTGATTTGGATGGACTTGTGGTCATTGGTGGGGATGACTCAAATACAAATGCATGCCTACTAGCAGAAAATTTCAGGTCTTTTTTTATGTTCTGTTTCTTTTCAAAACAAGTTACTTCTTGTAAACAAAAGATTTTATTAACTTTTTGAAGGGCTAACAACTTGAAAACTCGGGTTATTGGATGCCCAAAAACCATTGATGGTGATTTGAAGTGTAAAGAGGTTCCAACAAGTTTTGGATTTGACACTGCCTGCAAGGTAACAAAACCAATTTCACTTAAATTATGAATTTTTTTTTTTGCATCAAAATTGTTACCCTGTCAATCATGATATACAGATATATTCAGAAATGATTGGAAATTTAATGGTGGATGCACGTTCCACAGGGAAATATTATCATTGTAAGTACACATTTTTTATCCATTCTAGTTTTTTAAAACTACTAATATAAATATCATTTGTGAATTACATATATATATCCTTTTTTTAATAAATTTAATTGCAGTTGTAAGGTTAATGGGTCGAGCTGCATCACACATAACACTGGAATGTGCTTTGCAGACTCATCCAAACATAGCAATCATTGGAGAAGAGGTATCTGAATAAATATTTATAAAAAAAAAAAAAAAATCATTTTTTTATAAAATGTTGTGACTTATTGAATTTGTTGTAGGTTGCTGCACAAAAGCAGACACTAAAGAGTGTTACAGATTATATAACAAATATAATCTGCAAACGTGCAGTAGCTGGTTTTAATTATGGCATTATTCTCATACCAGAGGGCCTCATTGATTTCATTCCAGAGGTATATATTTAATTATTTATATCTCAACTCCCCCCCCCCCCCCCCCTAACTACCTTACCCTTTAATATGATGTATAGGTGCAATCACTTATTGGAGAGCTTAATGAAATTATAGCCCATGGCACCATTGATAAAGAAGGAACATGGAAGAAGAAACTTAGGAGCCAATCTCATGAACTCTTTGAAATATTACCAAAAACAATTCAGGAACAGCTTTTGCTAGAAAGAGATCCTCATGGAAATGTGCAGGTATTTATTGTCATGACATGACTAGACTAAACTGGATTGGACTGGATAAGATTCTACTGGTGTAATTTCAACGATAAGAATGAGGAAGGAGGGTATTTCCGTCTTTTACAAAAGAGGACTATTTTTAATGATAAAGATTAAAAAGGGCATTTTTTTTTTAGTCTTATTGTCATTGGTCCCATTTTCCAATACAATGCAAGCCAAAAGCAATAGTAGAGAGGACATGACAAGTCTAGATAAGCTCTTAAAAGGTATTTGTCAAACACAAACACAGTATAAAGCTGCCTAAATAAGTTTTTAAAAGCTATTTGTCAAACACAGTATAAAACTACTTGTTAAACACAATATAAAACTGTCTAGATAAGCTTTTAAAAGCTATTTGTCAAACACATAAAACTATTTGTCAAACAGAGTATAAAACTGTGTTATTCAATCTCTTACTTGTCATGTATTGTTTAAAATTTGGATTGAATGCAATTAGGTTGCCAAAATTGAAACGGAAAAGATGCTCATTCAAATGGTGGAAACTGAACTAGAGAACAGGAAAAAAGAAGGTAAATATCAAAAGGATTTTAAAGGGCAACCACACTTTTTTGGGTAAGTAATATGTTCTTTTTACCCTAATGAGTTCCACCATATATTAAATAAAGCCATATTTTATTTTTAATTTTACTTTATGTAGTTATGAAGGTAGATGCGGTTTACCTTCAAAATTCGACTCAAATTACTGCTATGCTTTGGGTCATTGTGCTGCAGCTCTACTTCATTCGGGAAAAACTGGATTAATTTCCTCGGTTTGGATTTTATTCTTTTTCCAACAATTTTTGAAAGAAATTTTCATTACGATTTTTGGTTTTAACAGATGTTAAAGTTAAATGACTTCTAATTTACCTACATACCATTATATGTTATGTTTTTTAAATAATATCTAATTCAAAAACTAACTTCTTATGTACCGATTTAACATGTTATACATATATATATTATATAATGAATAACGATTTCAGTTTTAACATTTCTTAAACGGAAAATAAAACGTCAAGGTTGCAACACAAAAGAAAAAAAATAAATCAAAACGTGTGACTTTCATTAATCGAAATAAAGTACAATCGTTAAACCCAACAAGGTTTCTTTGCAGACCAAAAGGACTTTTCCTTGGCTCATTAATGATTCACAGCCTATTTACAACAGTGGCCATTTTGAATATTTGGCTAATTTTCTAAAAAATCATAAATGAAATTACCATATTTTGTCTTTTTCTATTGTTTTTATGTATTATTATTAAACTCAGGTAGGAAATTTGGGAGCTCCGGTTGAAAATTGGACAATTGGTGGGACCACATTGACATCTCTAATGGATGTGGAAAGAAGACATGGTATCTATATATATAAATGCATCGTAAAATTTTACTGTTAAAATAACAATATAAATAACTGTAAATATTTTTACAGGCAAGTTTAAACCGGTTATTAAGAAAGCAATGGTGGAACTCGAAGGTGATAACTGATAAGTTTGTTTTTACTTATGTTAATTTGCTATTCTGTATAATATACTTATATATTTTTTGTTTATATTATCAGGTGCTCCTTTTAAAAAGTTTGCATCAATGCGTGGAGATTGGTCTCTTAAGAACCGATATATTAATCCAGGTGCATGTCTATATTAATTATTTTAAACATCGAATCACATGAATAATAGAAGTTTCATCATTTATATGATTTATATGTATCACAATTTTATTTTATTTATTCTTTTTCTATATCTTCGTTTTACGCATAAATTTTTATGATATGTCACTTCATTTGTTTTGTAATAGTTTCGTATACACCTAATTTTTTTTTTTTATGATATGTACTTGTTTATAGATTTTTAATGGTTGTTATATATTCGTCGGATGCGATATTACAAACTCTAGTTTATCCACAATTTCTTATGTATATATTTTGAAAATAAAAATCATCTTTATATGAATTTCTAAATAATTTTGCCACAGAAGCTCAAAAAAAGAATGCTAATCATTTTGTATGATTTTTTTTTCATAGGTCCTGTTCAGTTTGTTGGTCCATCGGCTGATATCCTCAACCACACACTAAGGTTGGAACTTGGAGCTAAAGCTGGTGGTTAGTGATTCCTAAATCAATAATCGATCTTATATTAGTTGCTAAAAAGGAATGCATTTTTTTTTTTTCATTTTAGTAATTGTCGTTTTTTAGTTAGAAATATTTATTTTTTACTTTATTTGACATGAAAATTGAATAATGCAAGATAATCATTTTCATTTGTCACGAAGTTGAATTTTCTGGGAGCTTTAGAAGATGGTTGTTGAAGAGTAAATTACAATTTTGGTTCTTGTAGTATTAATTTTTCTATTAGTTTGATCCTAGTTTTAAAAGTTTGAAACCAAAGATCCTAATGGTTGACATATTTATTGGATTTGGTCCTTAAACCCGTTACCATCAATCCCATTCTATTAAAATGTATGTAAATGATGAGATTACTATTTGTTTTGTCAAAATTTTAGAGTAAATTACAGAATTTAGGGATGAGCATGGATTAGTTTGGGTCGGTTTTTGGTTAAAACCCAACCAAACCGTAGAAAATCTGTTTTTCGGTTTTTAAACCCATATAAGTTCGGTTTTTGCATGGATCGGTTTTTCGGTTTTCCGGGTTGGGTTTATGGGTTTTCGGTTTTAAACCGTGGGTTTATGAGTTCATTTTTTTTCTAGGTTTTGGGTTCAAACCTAGTGAAAATACGTTGCGATAAATAGTATTGTATCTAATTTAAATATACTAAAATAAAGAGTACAAATTCTAGCATTATAAAAGCATAAAAGTGTTCAAAAGATCAAAGTTTAACACCATTAACATTTTGTTGAAAATAAACATAAAGTATTAAAGAGATAAAGTCTAAAACTAAAAATTTAAATCATAATATAAATAATAGACTAAACTGCACAAATGGTCCCCGTGGTTTGTGGAAAATTGCTACTTTGGTCCAAAAAATTTTGGACTAGCATCAGTGGTCCAAAACTTTCATTTTGTTGCGTCTTTGGTCCGATCTGTTATGATTTTTTTCAAAATGACGGATTTGCCCTTGTTAATATGATTTTTTTTCTTATTTGTTTTTTTACTTTTAGATTAAAAAAAATAATAATAAAAATAAAAATAATCTCTCTCTCTCCTGATTTTTTCAGATTAAGAAAAACAATAAAAATGACAATAAATCTCTCTCTCTTTCTCTCTCTCTCTCTCTCTCTCTCTCTCTCTCTCTCTCTCTCTCTCTCTCTCTCTCTCCGTCGTCTACCTCCCACATCTAAAACCTTAACACCATTAATCTTCATTGGTTTTAGTATATGGGTATGAAAATCACAAGAATATAGCCTCAAACCATATATATGTTCCTCTCATCCATCTTGCATCTGATTCAACTTCAGCCTGTCCCCACTCTGCCACCATCACCTTCGCTCATCCAGTTTGAGATATTCATAGAGACATTTGAATCAAATCCCTCGTGCATCCGTTTCATGTTCACTGGTGAACTATGCTTCTTCATCTGCCTTCTTCTTCATCTGATACACAGATCTAGGATGTTCATGACGGCTAGGGTTTTATGGAGATTGTTCTCATCTGATGGCGGCGCTATGGTTTGGACAGGAGGTGCAAATAGGGTTTCTAGTGGTGGTGATGAAGAGCTTTTTTGTTGGTGGTGATGCATCATGTGCGCTAGGGCGTGTTTTTCACAGGCGGTGACACTAGGGCTTGCTTTAGCAGGCGGCTTTGGCTCCATTGTGTGCGACTCGAAGGCGACTCGTCTGAGGGGGGGATCGGAGACGTGATAACTGCGGTGGTGTGTTGGTTCAGAAGGATGAGTGGTCGCCGGTTTTTGGAGCTCCAAGAAATCGGAGCCCTTTTTATCGCATCGTCGGCAAAAGAAAAGCAAAACCCAAATGCCTTCTTCACTCGCCTGATTTTCCCATTACCAATGTTGCAACAGCTCACCATCATTTAATTTGCAAAACCAACTTGAAGAATGGGTTTGATTTTTTTGGCTTAAATTTTTTTCTGTGTTTAATTTTTTTTTCTAGGTTTTACGAGGTGTTCTTGAGGGAAGAACAAACAAAGAGGGAAGGAGAAATATCGGGGAAGAGAGAGAGAGAGAGAGAGAGAGAGAGAGAGAGAGAGAGAGAGAGAGAGAGAGAGACAGAGACAGAGACAGAGACAGAGAGAGAGAGATTTATTTTTATTTTCTTGTTTTTAGAGAGAGATAGAAAGGTTTATTTTTATTTTTATTTTAATGTTTTTTTATATCTGAAAATCAGAAAAAAAAAAAATAAGAAAAAAGATAAAATATATTGACAGGGGCAGATCCGTCATTTTGAAAAAAATCAGAAAAGATTGGACTAAAGACGCAACAAAATGAAAGTTTTGGACCACTGATGCTAGTCCAAATCTTTTTGGACCAAAGTGGCAATTTTCGACATACCACAGGGACCATTTGTGCAGTTTAGTCTAAATAATATATATGTGGGTCAGTTCGGTTTTTATGGGCGGTTTGATACGTCAAAACCGAACAAAATCGTTATTTTTCGGTTTTTGTAAAATTCAAACCTAAACCGTCGGTTATTGCTTTGGTTTCGGTTTTTCGGTTTCGGTTATGTCGGTTTTTTTCGGTTTTCCAGTTTTCGGTTCGGTTTTTTTCGGTTTTTCAGTTTTCGGTTCGGTTTTTGCTCATCCCTAACAGAAATGATCTTTATAGTTTGTTTAAAATCGTAGGTATAATTCAATTTTGAAAAGTTAACAGATTACATTCCTATGGTTTAGAAAAACTACAACGCCCGTCCCTCCTTCAAATAGTGGCGATCTCAGCCTCAGTTTGATCATATAAAACCTCCATTGATTACAAATTTAAGGCTATGTTTGGTGTACTAGCTAAAAAGCTAACTGTTAGCTGAAAAACTAGTTGATAGCTGAAAAGCTAGCTGTTAAATGAAAAACTAGCTGATAAAAAAATAACGTTTGGTAAAACTAGCTGAAAAGCTAGCTGAAATATATAAAATTACATAAAAGGACATGTAAGAGTATGTGTTTCTATAATGAATTAAACGGTGTATTTGGAAATTTTTAAAAAAAACTTTTAAAAAGCTAGTCTAAGTAGTTTTTCAAAAAGCTAGCTTATCAACTACTTTTTGGCTTACCAAACATAACATAAAAAAAACCCGAAAAATAAGCTAGCTGTGACGTGCCAAACACAACCTAAATCGATCAGCCATTAACATCTCAAATCAAATATCAAGTTTAAGTTTCTAGTTAGTTTTACTACAAATAGTGGCGATCGAACAAACACATCACAAACGTATCAATAACGTTAGTTCCAACCACCACAACCAGCCATATTTCCTATTGTTTTTTAACCATTTTTATCACAGAAAAAAAAAAGATTCTATGTTAAATTCACTAGGAAGAATGTGGAGATTATGTGAAATATGAAACTTTATAGATGGGTTCGTTGAAGGTTGAAAAGGATCTTCGGTTCTTTGGGTGGCTAAGTTTAGGAAAAAGATAGAAAATCGGTCTCCATAAATAAAAAATAAATCGATCCAAAGCCAGATAAAAAAGCCTTATTGAAATCAATCTCCAATTCTTTGTCTTCAATGCATCAATAAAGAAAAATCAAAATTTCTGACTAATTGAAAAATAACTCAAGAGAATATGTTTTAGATGGGCATGAATTCAATCTTCAATCCATAAAAAATTACCTTAATTTATCGACTATAGAAACTGGAGATTTCTATTTAAACATTTTCAATTTGATGATGAAAGTAGAAAATGACCAAAAACTCTAAATTACACGATCAATCAAATTTCTCAAAACAAAATCAACGATGAACAAGAAAGAGAAAATTTCATCATTTTCATTGGATTTTAGGGAAATTGCTAGGAGAAACGGCATCATTAATAGTCACTACCTTTGTAAGGTGTTGACTGGACACCGGCGACGGTAAACGACAATGTTGATAAATTCGTAGATGCATTGGGGAGAAATGATAGGCATGTGGTTGCGATAAACGACAAAGATGAGGCGAGAATGAACGATGATAATGGGGAATCCGGGGAAGAGATGCGTCTAGGAGAACAAGGGAGAATGATGAATGCGCTTGTGCGTCTGGAGAAAAAATAAACACAAAGGAAAATTATAAATAAATGGTAAGGTTGTTTATTTTATTTTCATATTAAATGTGGTGAAAAGAATAATAAAAAAAAAAAGGTAAATTATATTTTTCAATGTAATATTATTAAAGATTATAAAAAAAATATATATATAAGAAATGACAAAGTAGTATTTTTATATGGACAAAAGGATTGAGACTACAATTTGTTAAAATCTTTAGGATGCAACCTATCAATTTTGTAACTTAGGTACTAAAACTATAAATTTGAGCAAACGATGCAGACCAAAACTGTAATTTACTATTTTCTTATTTTGTCGTTTTTTTATTATATTTATGAGTCGTTAAATAAGTGGGTCTCATATACCTAATGCACCCTATCCCATAAGTCACTATACTACATATCCGTTGAGCATCACTATTACCATAGTTAATAACCCCTCCCCACATTGTATTTGTATCATGTAAACCACCGTCACTTTCACAGTAAAAAAAAAAAAAAACTAGTGTCGTAAAACCCGGTCTATTCAAAATCGAGTATTTACCATGTAACATCCCAAAATATCAGGTAAAATTGTTTTCGTTTCTAAAATAATAAAAACATCCATTTTAGTAAAGTTACATTTGAGTGAAACCATTTGTTCATAAACTATTATTCAGAAATCATTGTTATAATGAAGATAATGCAGAATCTCGGATCATAAAATTGTTGATGTGTGTGTACGGTCACGCCTTCGTCACCCGATAAGTACCTGCAAAATAGTTAATCCACAACTGTAAGCACATAGCTTAGTGAGTCCATGTTGAATATGAGCGCAATACATCATCAAGAGTCACAAAGATAACATGCATCATACATACACAATCTAGTGGCCCGACATTGTTACCTTTGATCCACGGGTATAGTGAGAAGACTCACTTCACGAATAGCAGCTAATGCACAACAGCTCACACACCG